GAAGAGCACAGAAAATGATGTTGCAGGTGTTCAGGAAGGTATGAAGAGAGCTGTCTGAAAAGGGAAGGGATGAACAGCAAGTTTTTTAGGAGACACCCATTTTTTTAGGAAAAAAAAAGTAGCATGAGAAGCAAGTAACAATGCGCACGTACAGAGCTAGAACTGTAAGCAGAGTTGTAGCTTTGAGTTTCCCCAGTTTTGTCTATGTGGCCATTATCACATTTTTTGGAAGAGCACAGAAAATGATGTTGCAGGTGTTCAGGAAGGTATGAAGAGAGCTGTCTGAAAAGGGAAGGGATGAACAGCAAGTTTTTTAGGAGACACCCATTTTTTTAGGAAAAAAAAAGTAGCATGAGAAGCAAGTAACAATGCGCACGTACAGAGCTAGAACTGTAAGCAGAGTTGTAGCTTTGAGTTTCCCCAGTTTTGTCTATGTGGCCATTACCACAACAGAGAAAGCCCCTGAGATGTCTGATGCTTCCACCCAGATGGAACTGGTAAGGAAGGAGACTTCAGTACAGACAGTAGGTTGCAAGGACTGCCCAGACCCTTCCCCTGGAGAAAAGGTAACTACCTGCAAAAGATGTGCATAGGTTGATGATCTGTTGTGTCAGATGGCTGAATTGCAGGAAACAATTAAAAGGCTGACCAGAGATGTCAAAAACTACAAGAAAAGGTTCTTCAGGTAAGTAAAAAACAAGCAGCAGCAGAAGGAAAACATTGGCCCACTGTGAAACAGGAGAGGTGAATTAGTCACCAACAATGCTGAAAAGGCAGAGGTTCTCAACGCTTTCTTCACCTCTGTCTTTACCAGCACTGTTGAGCCCCAGGCCTTGGGAACAAAAATCCAGGTTGATGCAAACACAGACCCACCATCAGTGAAGAGTTGGTATGTAAACCATTACAGGAGCTTGACCCTTACAAATCGATGGGCCCTGACGTTATCCACCCAAGGGTGTTAAGAGAGCCAGCTGACATCGTTGCGAGGCCGCTCTCCATAATCTTTGAGAAGTCGTGGAGATCGGGGGACATCCCAGAAGACTGGAGGAAGGCTAATGTCACCCCCATCTACAAGAAGGGCTTAAAGGAAGATCCAGGAAATTATAGGCCCATCAGTCTTACTTCAGTCCCTGGGAAAGTTATGGAACGAATCCTCCTGGGGCTATCACAGGTCAAATGACGCACTTGATTGGGAAAACCCCGCACGGATTCACCAAGGGCCAATCGTGCTTGACAAACCTGATCACCTTCTATGACAAAGTAACCTGCTCAGCTGATGTGGGACGAGCAGTGGACATTGCCTACCTGGATTTCTCCAAGGCTTTCAATACGGCTTCCCACAGCCTCCTCCCAGAGAAACTGATGTGTTACAGTCTAGACAAGTGGTCCGTGCGGTGGGTGGGGTGTACAGGCCGCACCCAGAGGGTAGTGGTAAATGGCTCCTTTTCAAACTGGCAACCTGTCACAAGTGGGGTCCCTCAGGGATCGATATTGGGCCCAACGCTGTTTAGTATCTTCTTAAGTGATCTGGATGATGGGATCAAACGTACCCTGATGAATTTTGCTGATGATATGAAACTGAGCGGGGAAGTTGACACTTCGGAAGGGAGAGTCACCCTGCAGGAAGATCTGGATAGGCTGGAAGAGTGGGCTAACCAGAACCTTACGAAGTTCAACAAGGACAAGTGTAAAGTCTTGCACCTGGGAAAACATAATCCAGGAGTGCAGCACAGGCTGGGATCTACCTGGCTGGGGAGCAACTCTGTGGAAAGGGACCTGGGGGTCCTGATGGACAAGTTCAATATGAGTGAACAGCTTGCTGCTGCGGCAAAGAAAGCCAACAGGATGCTGGGTTGCATCAAAAAGGGCATCACCAGCAGAGATAAATAAGTCATCATCCCATTCTACCCAGCGTTTGTCAGGCCACACTTGGAATACTGTGTTCAGTTTTGGTCCCCGGTACACGAAAAAGATGTGGACAGGCTGGAGAGGGTCCAGAGAGGGGCCACAAAGATGATCAAAGGCCTGGGAAGGCTGCCATATGAGAAAAGGCTGAGAGAACCAGGTTTGTTCAACCTTGAGAAAAGAAGGCTTAGGGGAGACCTTCTCACCATGTTCCAGTATTTAAAGGGTGGCTACAAAGAAGATGGAGACTCCCTTTTGACAAGGAGTCACATGGAAAAGACCAGGGGTAATGCATACAAATTACTCCTGGGGAGATTCCGATTGCACACAAGAGGAAAATTTTTCACAATGAGAACAATCAGCCATTGGAATAATCTCCCCAAGGAAGTGGCGGATTCCCCAACATTGGACACTTTTAAGATGCGGCTGGACAGGGTGCTGGGCCATCTTGTCTAGACCGTGCTTTTGTCAAGAAAGGTTGGATTGGATGATCCTTGAGGTCCCTTCCAACCTGGTATTCTATGATTCTATGATTATTGGGACAAAGCCAGTTAGTTGGAGAAGAGGACAGCTAAGGGTCTATGTAGCAAATATCAGTAGAGGCTCATTTGCTCATCAGTGTTTGCATGGCCTCACTGGGTTTGAATTCTTTCCCCTGAAATTACGGCATTTTAGACTGCACAGCTATCTTTAGCTCTTTAATGAGATCACTTGGACAATTAGTAGCTCAAAGCTCTGTGAAGTCTATGAGGGGTTAGCTGAAGACTGCTCTTGCAGCATAAGCTCTCTCTTGTATTTTTTCCTCTAATAATTAGAGCTGCAAGAGCAAATAAAGGGCCAACAAATGCTTCATGGCTCAGGACATGCAGGTAAATGAAAGCCTAACAGTGGAAGTGATTTTAAGTTTCAGGCTAGAGTTTTATTAGGGTAATACTGAGGAGGAGTATGGTATGCTCTCATATTTTGTATGGGCATTTTTCTGGTCCAGTAAAGGGGGTTACAAGGCTTCCACAGCATAGTCAAACACTGAGGTATCTTCCTCCACAGTTCTCCTTAAGACCTGGCTCACTTTAAATTCCCCCAACTCTCCCTCTCACAAGGGGATGAAACACCGAAGGACTGTGCCACCAGTGTCAAGGGGAGGCCCCCTGTGTTACAGACCAGCGAGAGCTTACTTGCACAGCTTGCAAACCACTCTTCAGCTTCCACACGCAGCTCCTGTCCTTGTAACTCGTGAGGTGACTGCTGCCTCTGGACAGCCCAGCAGTCAGCATGTGCCGGGGAAACTGGCCAGCATGGGCTGGCAGAAGCAGTCCTGCCGCACCGCCTGCAAGAGCCTCCCCAAATCCTGGGAAAGAAGGTCGAGCTGTGGGGGGAGAGGATGGCATGGACCAGGCATGCACCCTTGGCTGCATTTTGGGTGTCCATCAATGGCAAGGAGTAGATGGTATCTGGGATGTGTGGCTTGTGCTTGGCTGGAAGTCACAGCACAGACCATGCAGAACAGTAACTGCATCTTTGGCTGTCATTTCCAACCCATGTAACATCTGGTCTGGGGGAGGAGAAGCTGCTGAAAATGAGGTCACTTTTAGAAATATGCCTAAAATGTGGATGTCGGGAAATGAGACACCATGTGTTTTATTTTCTTGGCTTTTAATCTATGAAAGGTGGACACATTTTGCAACAGACTTAAGATCTGTTATTGAAAGCATGAGTTATTTATCTTGGGGAGCTAATGCTCAGTCATTTGCTGTACTGGTCAGTAGCCACAGGTGATGACAAACTACATATTCTTCCATCTTTTCTAAATATTGCATTTCCTTAAGCAGAAAACCCGCAGTGACCTGCCCTCTAGCCATACCCAATAAAGGCAGGACAGCTGAAAGACAAAGCATTTCTACATGCTGAGGAAGGAGCGGGTGGCCCACCTAGCCACACACATCAGCTGAAAGGTGCAGCAAAGCCAAAGAGGAAAGTGAAGGGTTTGGCTGTGGCATTTTTGATGTGTTTTTGCTTCTGCATCCTCTTCTAGTTAGAAAGCAAATGAAGCGTTGTATTTCCCCAGCCCCACTGTGGGTTTTCCACTGCCTTTTCTCAGGCCTAGGTTCTTGCCCTCTCCAGTTGCTTTGGGGCAATGACACTCCACCCTTCCTGTGGCACAAGAGCTGTGCATCTTGCTGCACTGCATAGATTAGGGAGGGGAGCAGGAATTACTTACTTAGGTACAAAAAAATTAGCAGATATTTCATCTCAACTTGTAGGCTAGCTCCTGGCAAGCCAGAGTGGGAAGATTTCCTGCTGTACCAAATGCTAGTTGGAGCAGCAGCTGAAATGTGCAATTTAAAATTTATATGTGATAGTCTCCCATATTACAAAAATTAAAATACTATGAATCATCGCATCAGCATTCTAGGTCACTCTTATTCCCAGATGTGAGAGTTAAAAATCCTAATGAGGTTTTTTTTTAAGTGAAAGTTATTAAAAGTTA